CCCTGCCAGGAGCTCCTTCACCCTCCTTAAGTGGAGCTGCTGGTTGCAGAGAAGAGACTTGCTCAAGGTGAAGATATAGTGAGGGCTGAGTACGTGGGTTACAGGGGAATGTAATTTAAACACAGCACTTTTAAAGAGGTTCTATTATCCGAAGTTAGATCTGTGGAAAATTTGGCAGTCAACAGGGAGAATGGAAGAAACAGAGAGGACAATTTAGGGTCTTGGTAGACTCAGTCTCACCCTGGAGGTGCTGCTCTGTGCCGGGAGTTATGCAGTACAAATAGATAAATCAGCAGTGTAGAACCGAGGGCTACATTTGTTCTAGTCTCAGGGTTGTGATGCTTCAGTACCAGCTGCAAAAAAATGAAGGTCTGCAAATGTCTCAATCAGAGTAAGACAGGGACTGGCAACCTGCATGTAATTTTTTAATTGTTGTTGTTAAATACCGTGAATGCTACCAAAGTCAATGGAAAAGGAAATTATTCATTTCCTTGTTGTGACCTACCTCTCGCGAATCCACTGCAGCATACATAATATCCATCCAACCTTTAAATGTGGCCTGAAAAAAACCCCACAAAATACATAATTAAGCATATACAATAAACATATCTTGAAATGATGATACCATGTCTCTGATGAGCTTTCAAAACGCAATGTTGAGCACATTCTTCACAGTTAATGAATTGCCTCTCCTTTAAAGCAATATGTATACATGATTTTATATTCATTTAGACATTTAAAATCATTCCAGAATGGTTTTCTGCTGGATTCTCTCATTTGTGTTTTCTGATTTTCTGCTGTAGTAGAGAGAAAACAGAGGTTTTAAAAAGAGATTTTAAAAAGGAGAGAAAACACAGCAATGAAATCTTTGGAAGTTTTGACCTTAACAATTTCAAGTAATGAAGAGGTATGGCTGCACAGAACAGCTCAGAGTGCTGTCCTGCGCGAGTCTCAGACCAAGTGAGATGGATCCCATCCATATTCAGACTGATGGGCAGTGACTACATTGTAGGATCCCACTGACTCTTGGATTCTGCCCTCTTTTAAAACAGGGTAAATCAAGGCAATGTCAAAGCCCAGGGAGTCGCATAAATCACAGCTGACTTGAAAGAAGCAGAGGCAATCAACACCTGCTGTGAGCCTGGTCTTGGAAACTCAATCTGCTTTGCTGCTCAGGTTTTATTGTTTTTTTTTTTTTTTTAAATCAGGGTTTTAATTTATTTTTAAAAATTGTTTAAATGAGGAGGGATTCCACAGAAATTAGTGTCTCTTACTCAAACCTGCAATGAAGAAAGGGCAGCGACAATATTCCTACGAGAAACAAGTAGAAGAGATTTTTCCTAGCAAAAACATGACTCTCTGCTCTCAATATATGCCTCTCATTAGACACAGCCTGATGCCAAATGTACCCGGCATTTGGTCTGACTCTGGCCTAAGCCACATTGCCTTTATATTAGTTCTCTTGGGTTGTTTCTCATTTGACTTCTGACCTATTTAGACTTACCTTGGATTTAAAATCAGCGTGAAGCATTTTTAGATTTATTCTTTTAATCAGAATTACACTAGCACACATAAAAGACCCACACCCAATATTTTTTTGCATCCTACTGACGCTTAGGTTGAATTTTCTCCTGGTGTGTAGACACATAATTCCAGGTAACACTAAGAGGAATGTGGCCAGTGGTTCCCAGGAGAAACCCAGGCATTTGTGTAGAGCTAGGTACATGCAGTGGTCTTAAAAATGTTCCATTATACACTCTCTATCCTGGAGGTAACACCGCCTGCCCATTTCCATCTGAAGGCTATCGAGCCAAAGGAAAATGTTGTACAAGATGTCAACCATATTTCTCATGGAAGTATATATAAAATAAGGTTTCAAAGGTTGCATTGATTTTTATCTACTGGTTGAAAGAGATTAAACTCCCCAAATCAGAACCCTTTGGAAAATGTATTCCATGGTACTGTGTGTTAAAAAACACTTTAGATGTAAAGTGTTTACAGGAATGATCAGCAGTTTTATTGAAACAAATAATTAGTTGAATCTGTCATGCTGATCCTCCTTAACTAATATTTCCCCTTTTTGCTGTTCTCTCTCTAATCTGGTGGAAGATTTTCTGGTGTCATTACGGCCACTTGTAGCTTCCAGTTCAAAGTGCCGTTCAGGAAGGGTGGATGGAATGAAACAAGAAAGCCTTTCCCTGTGGCACAAAATTATATGATCTTAGCCTGTATTTTTCTCCCACTTGGGATGAAATCTTTCCTCTTGAGTAGCTATTTTACCCCTCGATGTGTACCACAGACACAAGAGACTCTACTGCAAGGCACTGTGGTTTACAGTGATAACAGATGATGAAGTGATCTGACAAAAATAAATATTAAGAGAATGAAGTACTGTGATTTTCTGGTTTTCCCAGTTGTCCAGAAGTAAGAGAATTAAAAATCCACAGGGCTTCTGGAAAGCTTCCCTAGACACTTCATCTGCAGAGGGTAAAAGATACTGAGAATGAAAGAAATATAACACTGGGGAAAGAAATTATTTATCTGGAATTAGTAACCACTTACACTCTGGATAAGGAAGTGACAAAATCTTCATGGGAGTGTTTGTGATATTATCCTGCCTGGAAGCTATCCAGAGAAACACCATTTCTACTGAAACTGTCATGTGATGAGATTATCTACCGATAAACTCATCTTGGGATGGGATTACATTTTGTTATTTGACTGGTGGTTAGAGCAGTAATGCAGTAAATGGGGGGGGGGGGGGGGGGGGGGGTGGTGCCTTATGCAAGCTGCCCCCAAACCGTTTATTGTATAACCAAATGGTGCCTTAAAATAAAACAAACCTCTAAATATGTGAGGCTTGGTTTTGTTTGATTTTTTTGTTTGTTTTTGGTTGGTTTTTTTTTTCTAGAAAAGGACTGCACTAGTACAATAAAAATATCTGCTTTTGACAGTAGAAATACCGGTCTTCACATTTCTGAAATGCTTCTTTAAGCATTACTATTGGTGAGAGAAACTTCTGAAAGCTAAAACAGAGCCACCAACAGTACAGCCAAACTACACATATTTAAGCTGGCTATGCTAACTCCACTATCTGCTGGCTTTTCTCTTGAATTTTTCAGTTTGTTCAATTCCATCATAGCAGCGATTTTATACAGAACACCTGTTTTATGTTTATTTTGCGTTAAGATGCTTTGCTGGGGAGGCACCACCGAGCACTGGACCCACAGGAGCACCCCAGAGGTCTGCAGTGCGCTGGGCTATGTGGGCTCCAAGAGCACTGCCTCTGCTCCCCTTGAATTTCCACCAGGAATTGCCCGTGGAAATACTGCTTACTCCCGATCTTTGGACACACGGAGAAATCTACCCTGGCGCACAGGGTTTGCTCAGAGGCATAGATTTTTTTGTGCATTTTGCATCCACAGTGAAAGTAAAATCGAGCATTAAAGTTTACAGAAGTGCAAGAGATTGTGTAGCTCAGTAACTTTAGACACACGCCACTGTCTCATGACCATTTTGTAGCTGATTTACGAGCTCGGTCATGGCTTCGAACCTGGCATAAGGGACTGATTTAACTCTACACCTCCTGATTGCTCTACTGGTCTGGGAGTGCTTCTGTTATCTTCCTGTTCCTTACCCAGAGTCCCAGAATGACAAGGAGTTGTAGGACATATTAGATGTAAGTCTGTTCCTGTCTAAGGAGAACTTTTCCAAGCAAGCCAGACGGTGTGTGAGAGACCACTTGTTTTCTTGTTGTTCCTCAATAGATGCTGAAATGTTAAGATACGTTGCAAAAAATACATGGAGGTTATCATAACATGAAGGGAAGGATTCTGCAAGGGAAATGCAAAACTCCTACAGGAAATTTAAGATATTTCTTTGTTCACCTCAAATGCAAATTTATAGAACATAGGTTCTGTGATCTGCAAAGCAATTCTGGGAATATAGAAAAAAAAATTACTGAAGCACTGGGTTGTAGCAACAATTATTTCCTAATAGATTAGTGTGTTAAGGGTGTTAAATCCCCAGAAAAGTGAATCATCCCTCTTGCAAATTAAAAAGTCATGATAATAAAGATCTTCTCCTCCCTGTGAATAAGGTATTTCTCTTGCTTGTAGAGTGAGCAGAGACTACCTCCTGCTTTAGTAATCCACTGTGAGACATCCCGCTTGTGCCTTGGAGAAGCTTGAAACTTGACTGACCACTTCACATGAATGTTTTCTCAGAGACATTAATTCAAAGTGGCTTCTTCAGAACAACCTGATGGATGCTAAACAAGGTAGGAAAAGAGCAAAGGATATTTGGGGAAAGTTTCGTGCAGTTCACAACTACACTGCCAGAAAGTTTGCCTCTGGATAGTAGCGAGCCTTAAAATTTCCATAGTAGCAACTTCTCATTTCCTTTAAGGATGCTATAGAAGTGAAGACAGAACATTAGGCAGACAGCTTTGTTTTACGCATTTCCATTTGGATTTTCAGACACATTCAGGCATCCAAAAGTAACTTCAGAATCACTTAAAGAGTGTGTTGCAGCAGCTGAAAATGTCAACAGTCAAAAGACAAGTCCCACTTAAAAGCTCATATTTTTGGATCCCGCAGGGTTGTAACCAAAATGCTTATCTCATCATTGCCATGCGCTGTCTCAGCGTGCACAAAGATGCATGGATGCGTCTGTCTCTTTAGGAGAGCTGAGCTGTTAACTGATCCCCTGCAATTCCTATGGTGGTTTGCTCATGAAATGTGACCCCAGATGGAGCGTATTTGGCAAGGAGCACCTGTAACCCACACTCCTTGGATGGAGTCTGGCAAAGGAGATCCAGATGTTCGGGCCCCTTCCCTGTGGGTGTCATCTTTACACTTTATTGCCTAAGACTGTCGTTAGCAGCAGACATAAGAGCTCCAGGTGCAGGATGAAAGTTAAAATCAATCCCCTGATGGCATCTGGCTCCTGCCCTTTCTCCTGGATGAAGGAGCCAGCACCTGCCACAGAAGCTGAGCAAGGTTTCAGGGCTCTCTCATTTCCTGCCATAATCACTTTGTCCAGCCTGCACAGACTCTACATTTGTGGCACTTTTATAACTCTGCAACTGAAAAACCTACTTCTCTGCTACCCAATCCAGGAACACAGGTTTGCAAGAAACAGGAAGGGTCATCCAGTCCATTTTCAGCTGGAAAAAAGCAGTGCTAGACCGTCCTTTTGTAAATGTGCCGAGATCCACCTTACAACCATTGCTGATCCCAAGAGAATGCAGTCCCACCTGCTGAATGCGGCCAGTGCCAAGTGCCCAGGAACTGATACTGCAGAACAGTAGAAGAGACTGTTTCAGGATACTCCTTAGGCAATGTCAATTTATGAAAAGTTGCAGATTTTCAGAAACCTGGAGCTTGAGTCTTATAAAAGAAATTGTGAAGGAGTAACTGCTACTCCGATGGAGGTTTTTTTTTCACCAAACAAACTAGGCACCTGTTATGCAGTCGTGAAGGAGATAAGAAGCTTCAGGTGAGGCATAATACTTTAAACCTGGAAATTTTTGCTCAGCTAGATTGGATGTTTAAATAAAAGACAAAGAAAGCACTATATAGAACGGCAAATCTAATTAAAGACATTCAAAGTGAATTAATCCACCCTGCATGGGTGAGCTGAATATCATAATTACATGCAAAAGATAACAGCTTTTGCTCTCAGCAAGTTCAGCTTTATGTCATGGAAAGAACCAAAAGTTCTAACCTTTCTGCTTTCCAGAGGGTATGAAAGCAAAGACTTGATGAACAGTTCTCAGAAGATCTCAAACTCAAGTGTATGAGTACTAGGAAAAGAGTATATAAGGATAAGCATTTCTGCAAGAAAGGAAAGCTACTTCCTGGAGCCATTTAATGAATCTGTGATAGAGTAAAAAAGATCTGGGAGAAAGCAAATTTGTGTAATGGGAAGGAGAAGGCCTGGCAGATCTGATGAGGGACCCGTGGGAGGCTCATGCCCTCTGGGAAGGGCAGGTGGGGGCCTGGGGTGGTACCCTACCACACTGCAAAGTGTGGACAACTGAATTGAGCCCCCAGCATGCAAGTTTTTATCCTAGAAGCAAGGAATGCCATCAGAGGCACTTCAAGACAGTAACCTCCCTGTCCAAGGATGTAGCAAGGGACTTGTTTCACTCTGTGTACGTAAAATGCAACACAAAAAACCATCCCTAGTGCATACCCAGTCCTTCTCATCACTAGGCTTCAGAGCAAATTAGGAACAAATGAAATAAGTATCATTACCACTATTTTACATGAGGGCCCCATGGAATTGAAACACAGAACAATTTGTCTAAAATCACTCAGCAGTCCAGCAGCAGAGCCTGGACAAGAAGATGGAGTCTCCTGTGGCTCTATCTGTTAGGTCGTGTTGCATCACAACACAGTAAATCTCAGTCCATCTTTTACATTTGCTGCTGAAATAGGTTGTAGAAGTGGCTTACTTCTGTCTTTATAGATCAAATATTGCCATCATCTTTGAACCTCAACAGTGTCTTCTGTGATATGCTCTCATCACCTTTCCAGAGAGATCAGGCTGTATGGAGTTACATCAATCTGATCACCACCACGTTTCATAGTTAAGTTCTACCTGACTTATTATGTTCAGCAGCTGGAAGTCAGGTGAGGAACCAGAATGAGAGGCATCAGTGTCCTTCTAATGTATCTCCATGGAAGGTGAGCAGAGGACTCTAAATTAAGACTTCTCTGTAACTCCAGCTTTATGCAATAATTTCAGTTGAGTAATTGAAGGTACTGTAACATCATTTTTTCCCAGCAGGGTATAATGAAGTCCCAGGCAGTTCAGGAAGGCCAGTGCACTCTGTCTGCATGAACAGTCCTTCCTGCACCATGACTTTTTGTTTCTGGAACTGAACTTTGCTCTAGATTACAATATTGACAAAATGATCTTTAATTCACCTCAATAGTCCAATCACTTCTGAGGCGACTACATTAGTGATGCACCAGAAACTCAAATTAAAACCAGAAGCCGCCATAAATAGCTGCCATAAATATCTAGAGGCCAAATTAATATGCCAAATATGACTCATTTACACTTGAGGAAAGGCACTCCCCTGATGGGTAAGGCTGAAAAACCCAGAAAAATATAGAGGTTAACCTGAACCTATAAGCTGATGATTTCAATAGGCACAGGCCACATTTGTCCATTAGTTTCTGGTGGTCGCACTTACCACTTGTAGCAGAGCCAGGTACCCAGCACCAACATTATCGAAGTTAACTTTGACTTTCGTCCAGTAAAATGTGCCCGACACATTATAGAGTATACAGTCACTCATGTTGTTAATAATTTTAGAGTCTAAAGGCATATCTCCTTCTGTCTTATTAATGCACTTCCCAAACTTCCCAGCAAACAGGTTCACTCCCATGATGCTAAAGATGAGCCAGAAGATAAGGCAGACAAGCAGAACATTCATGATGGAAGGGATGGCTCCCACAAGTGCATTGACCACCACCTTGGGTGAAACAGGAGAGAAAACCAGAATTAATGTCAACACTTACATAGACACTTCGCTAACAAGCTGCTGTGCAACCTTGATTAACTAGGCTGAACATGGTGACAGGGGGATAACTACTAACACTACCTAAGGAGTCAGACCACCATTAAAGGCTTCACACATGATTATTTTTCCCTTTTGTAATTGAATAGCTCGTCCATTGGCATCAAGAGGATTCTTTTAATTCAGGATCAATCTGCACAGTCATCATGACCTCTCAGATCCTAGTGGATAATACACTTCAGTCTCTAAAAGCCATACAATTAAGTGGAAATGTCTGGGGTACATCACAGGGTCTTCTAAAAACAGACCAAAAAAGTTTTCTGAAATCTTTTACTGAACTCAGGCATCCGTAGTCCTTGGGAAGTGAACTTTAGCTGTGACAAATTTTGCTTATTTAAATAATAGCTGATTGAGGCATACTGTACTAAACCAGCTTCCCCTGTCTGTTCAGTATGCATGATTAAAACAGTGAAACCATTCTAATTTAACAAAAATGCATTATCTTTTTCCATGACATGCTGTAATGTTCCTACACACCAACCTAGGCAGGGTTGCAAACCCCTGTGTAAAACCATACATTTTCCAAGGGAAGCACGCTGTCACAAAATGCAGTTTTCCCCTTCCTGTGTCAGCAAGTTTTCTCCATATTCACAGCTTTTGGAGATTCTGCCATTGCACAGTCCAGGCAAAGCTGGCAGATAGCATTGCTGTGGACACCAACCCCACTATACGAATTTGTCTCCATCTCTGTCTCATAGTTTGGAGATTAAAATCTGGTAGGCAGACACTAAATTCTTCCCCTTATCCATCTACATTTCTGAAACTGAGACAAGGCGATATTGATCCCTAAAAATTAAATTTTATTCAATTGTGAATCTGATTATGGAAAATGTCAGCTCTTGTTTTCTCTCGCATTTGTGTCCAATTTTCTGACAAGCTAATAATGTAACATTCGTTTCCCCATCATTTTTGCATTGCTGAGGAAGAAAAATACCCGGAAGAGTGAAATGGTTTTCATGCATGTATAGCAGCAGCTTCATCTACAATATACAATACAAAATTATGTAGATCTTTCAAAACACAGATTTATATTTTGCGCATTTATGAATGAAGCTAATTTTCACACAGGAAAAGCTGCTTGACCAACTTTTTAAACTTTTTTTTTTTTCTGTATAGGCCCATTCCTGATGACTTTTCAATTTCTCTCTTTTTTTTTTAATGCTAATTTTATTTTTTAGTTTTTGATGTTAATCAATGTCTAACTTCATTGTTTTAAGGTCAAAATTTCTGTGTTAACCAAAATGACAAATAATTTCCAAATCAAGGGCTTATTTGGATACAGCCTCAGCCCTCATCAAAGCTTTCCTTTGCTGCTCTGCGGGACAATATTTGTGTTCAATTTTAATCCACGCCAGCGCAATGCCACT